GATTGGTTGAATAAAGAACTCAGACTGAAGTGTTCGAAGGCCTTAACAATAATACTCTGTCTTTGAGCGGCATCAACGTACGACAAGGTTCTTCCTATGATCCGCTACTTTCATGTTTCCAAGTGAACCATAGCCCTAGAGATTAGTGCCAATACGAGCAAAGTTGATGCTCGCAACAGGCTTGAAAAGATAAGTTGTGCTTTACCGTGTACAGCAAAATAACAATCTGAACTTGTAGTATGCTTACGCTCTACCCGTGCTGAGGTTCCGGGTTCTATTCGCAGTTGGTTCGATCGATTCGCATTGCTGATGAGACCCAAGTAGGTCGAAACAAGTGTACAATGACTGCTTTATAACAGTCTACGGTTCGTCTGATCTGTAAACGACGAAACTTATCATATAGTTGAATCGAATCCTCCGCAGCTCTTATGTAATAAGTGGCTACGTTCGGAATGTTTCGAAACACGTCATAGCAACCAACTTCCAGTGCTGAGGTGAAATGAACGAGGCGTGTTACCCGCAACATGCTCTCAACGATTTGTTGAGTTACATGAAGTGTAGGGAGAGTGAAATAGGCTGATTAGCTGTCCGACAGTAAAACAGGTAGTAGCATACTTACGGTCTATCAGTGTTTTTTTGGGTTCAATCCGCGAATAGGTCGATACACTCAAAATACTGATTACAGAGTATTAGACTTCTAAAGCAGTGCAATACCTTTTAACAGCGGAATTCATTCAATTGATTCACCGACATTAAGTTGAATCATGGTGCTTTCGCGGTGTTAGGCAGTTGGTTAAACACCACAGGAGAACCTTGTTCCAAACCATAGAGGATGAGTAACATGTACTTATAATGAGAATTTAAATAACTTATAAACTTTTTCTACATTTTTAGATCTTGGTATTCCTATTTTCCAGAAATCACATTATTTGTTGCCTATTTATTTGGATGATCTTTCTTGAACTTGAAGTCTTCATAGATGACCTGATCAGCCGTGCTTTTCTGATCACGATCTGTGGTGCATGACGAGGAAACTGTATTGAGAATTTTTGGTTTGACTGGACCAGGTCAAATCAGTCACAGAATGTGCTCGTTATGTCTTTCTGACAAACGTGCAAAACACGTGATCAAACCAGAAATGACTCTATTGATTTAAAATAGGATTTCCATTCTACAGGGGTGCTTGAACCAGCATTCAATCTCAACAAAACCGACCTCTTACAACGTTTTAGGTCTGATAAATGCTCGTTCGTATGGC